AAAAAAAATTGGTGAGGCTAATCTACAAACCTGACATCGATGAAACAATTCAAGAGATCTATCTTCCATCATTTCTGGATCAATTTTGCCGTGAATCTTCGACTGATGATTTTCCATTTGATCCTTACGATAATGTTCTACGGTACAACCCTCGAAAAGGCAACGGAAACGGAAAGTCTGGAAAGGCGAACCTCAATAAGGGCATTCGGTTGAACGCAAAGAATATCATGTGGAAAAACTAGCAAGCAAAAATTAAAAAACCAACCCCATGATCTTTAGCCAAATGGAAGAACATGTGCATTTGACGAGCTCCTGCTGTTACTGGCTTTTGACACTTGCTACACTCGCCGAGAACACGCTTCTTTGAGATCCTTAAACGACTAAATAACAAAAATATAGGAAAGGAGCCCCAAACCTTTGAGTGAGAACATAAAACATATCAGAATTCGAGGTATGGAAACTCACGCGCTGCTTAAAGCCTTTGCACTTTGACTCTTCAAAGGTTTTTCTGTATGCGTGTCAGCATAGGCATCTTCAATACGGCCATCAGATGCAAATAGAGCAGCAACGTTATCCAAAACTGAGCTAAAACGGATAAAATCAAATTTTAGAATATTTTTCATACAACATGCAGATGAGAAAGTTGAAAAGTTGATGAAATTTGTAAGAGCTCTTACATCGGGTTCAAATTATCAAGGATGCTATCCTCTATCATGGCGCTATCATCTTGTTCTCCTCCATCGTACTCAGATTTCAAGCGCTTGTTGGTGAACATAGGCAAAATATCCAGATCATCTGTCACTGAAAAGAAGAGGCGCATTCAATGTCATGTAAATCAAGATGGGTAAAAATAACTTGTGGGAAATTAATGTATCGTTAAAAACTATGAGTACCATAAGGCATAACCACAAAGGACTTATAGAGTCCAGAAACACAAAAGATCAAACGATGGAAGGTTTGACCATTAAAATCCAAGTAACACTGTAATCGAGCAACTCACCTTCTCCTTCAACAACTCCTGAGACTCGGCTAATACTTGCTAAAAGGGCATCGGTGTTTGTATTGCCAGTTGATGCTAAGGCATCATCGATATGTCGCTTTCGTGAACCAGTATTAATAGAAAATGGAACTTCAGTAGGAGATGTATGAGATCGATCAAGGCAGGGTGGTTTCTAAATAGAAAATCAAAATTGCAAAAAAAAGTTGAGTTGCAGAACATATTGCTAGAGTTAAAGGAAGAAACTATGAGGACGTGTCTGCCATAGAAAAGTCAAAAACTAAAAAGAGACTTTCTTGTGACGAAGGTGTACTCCAAACATGTCTACGTATAGCCTCAGTTGTGAAAAAATGGCAAAACAGTTAATCAATAAAACAAAACACTAGGAAGCCTAACTCCTACTTAAGCTTACAAACTAAATAAATCAAAAATCAAAGGAAAAAGTATTAACACACACAC